TGTCAAAACGTCTGCCATCCTACGAGTCGCATCCAGTACATTTTCTAGTTTGGCGAGTTCTATTCACAGAAGCAAAAATATTCTTCAGGAAACAGCTTCTTTAACTGGATTCCATCCAACCTTCAGCAAATCTTCTTCACCAGCAGGACTTTACGTTTCCAGCAGCTTTAAAGCTTTACCACCTCGATACTTTTTGGCTACTGAAACTTGTCGAAGTTGATGAATGGAGGTGTTCTTGTCCAGCACACGTAATGCCGACCAAATTTTAAGTGGTAATCAGTTCCGCACAATGGCATGATCGCAGTCAGTTTGCACACTCTAGAAGGAAACGCAGTCTTGAATTGTCCATTTCTACTGTTGGCTGATGGCCACGTGATCTAACTCGGTCCACCGTTGATTTGCGGTAGGTGGCCGCCGGGTCACATGATGTGAACGTTTATGCTGGAAGCCAGTACTGGTCAGAAACAGTCCATGATCAGCACACAACTGGAAAAGTCGCCCTCAGTTGGTTCCCAGGAGCTCAAACGACAGATCTGGGTATTTACATCGCACGCAAGAATAAGGCTTGATAACTCTCGATCATCATCATCATCATCGATAGCATGACATCAGTGTTCAACACCGATGCTTCACTGTCGTACAACCATGACTTATTTGAAAGCCTTATTGTAAAGAAAAGAGTAAAGGTGGACGGGGGAGGAACTTAGTGCTAGCTTAACACAATCATTCCGAGGTGCCTACACCTCCAGACATTCACTCAGAACTACAGTCCGTTGGGGCATAAACCGACACTACAAACAGATACCACTTTTTATGAAGAGAGGCGTCGAGCTTGATTGAGCTGGATAACTGGACGGTGTAAAGACGACTATTCACTGGGATCCAATCTAGCAAAGCGCGTTCAGCTCGGGCTGAGTGAAGCTCCCATGTCATATATTCCATGAGTTATCGCTCCTCGATCACCGAACACACAGAGGAAATGTGATGGATCTAACACGACCGTTATGGTTTTGGTTCTTGCGTCTTGCGCGCGTTTCGGAGACACACAATACATCAATTTTAAGGAAGTATAAAGTTTCAGCGAACATTGCCTTCTTGCCAATTTGACATATAGTACGGACGTTGAAAGCTCTCGTGGATTTATGATGGTGTCGTTTTTTGTTAATAGACAGCGGGGTCGGTCGAATAACTGACAGTCAAATGACCCCGTAACGTTTGCCTGTGTGGTGGAAATGGGTTGGAGAGGGGCACCGGTGGACAAAAATGTACGGGTAAATGACACTTCCCGGTTGCTTAGGCCGAAGAAGGGGGTTTGGTTGAGGTAACTCACCTTCAGCCTTTGACTCAAAAGTCCAACCCAAAAGGCAGCGGGAGAATGCAACTAGCCTCTGACTCAAAAGTCTGACCCGCGAGGCAGCGGACAGTTAGGTTTTCTTTGTAGACCCTTCCCGGAGCCGATGACTTAGTAGCCTGACCTGCAAGGCTGCAGGGGATTAGCTTAACCCGAGGGCGCATTTCTGTTTCACCCCTGATGTGGCCGCGCGCAGCAGGTTCATTTTGATCAGTACCCGACTCTTTTGTTTTGAGAAGTATTTAGACCGTACTGGATAACGTGCCGTAGGTCACGGTCAACCTTTGGGTGATCGGATTGTTCGGTTTTCAGAGACGACAAACTATAACCCGTCCTTCGTCAGGGAAGACAGCATCCGTGCCCCCATGAATACGGACATTCTGACCATCTGAATAAAACACCTCACTGCCTCCACACTCGTATTAAGGAAGACAGTATGACCTTTCAGGCCGCTTCGCATGATGATTTTTCGCAAACGCCACGAGCGCCAGAAGGACACTTAACACGTACTTTAGTGGATTACACAGGCGGAGAGATCGTCACACCAAAACATGTACCGGTTTTTTTCATGGCGGAAAAACAACTAACGCTCCATGAATTTGCTTGTTATCCCCTTCAAACATGTTTATCTTCCTACACTATCCAAAAGTGTCCGAACTGGTTTTTCTATCATTCTGTGGCCAATAAGTATGAGTCACTCCTGATAAAAATTTGCTTGGTCCTGTCCATTTATCAAACTGAACATTTTCAACTTATCAAGTTCTAAACGTGTGCAGTGCTCCTGATGCCTACGTAAGACTTTGCGATATATGTACCGTTGTGTCCTCGTAGCAGTGTCCACTCTGTAAAACTGTTTCAAAGAACCCATCTTGATGCTCCATGGGTTTTGAGCTTGAAAAGTGAGTTTTTCCTAGTGTAAACGGAAGATTGTAATGCATCTTATCCGTGCAGTGCAGAAGGAGAAAATGGTCAGCTACTGCTGCGTCTGTGCTTATGCTGAGCTTTCTTGATGAATAACGACCTGTCGGCCTAAGATACCTACCTACATAAAACTTTTACTGCAGTGATGGGCCGTGTGTTTTTATGACTGCGCTAGCAACTTAGACTATCAACGAAGTTCTTGAAGCCGGATACAGGAACCACCAATTTGTCCTACCTCTGCTCGTACTGGGCCCATAGGCGCTGACTAAACTTCTTGGCTCTAGACTCGGCAGTTCCCCTGAAGTAGTTCCCACCTGGGTGCAGTCAAGGCCGGAGGTCCTGTGCCAAAGGCCAAGATTATACATTTGTTTAATAAATTCGGAATTCTGGACACTCGGGGACATCGTACCAAGGATGCTAATGTTACGAATGCCATAAATTCTCTGAAACCTAATGAGTGCAAGACAGACTTGTATCATATAGCATAGTCACAACACTCCTAACAGATCTTCCAGTTATCAGATGAGACAAGCCATCTTTGAAACTAACAGTGATGGGTTGAAGACGAGAATTTTTGCTAAGTCACTGAGCAAAACGGGTGTCACATATGAAAGTTCTCCTGTCTCTTGTTGAGAAAAGGGTTTCCAAAATGCTTCACGTGGTTCCTGATGAGAGAGCTTTCTGGACTAGTGCACATTAGGACATTTCAACACTGACCTAACTTTCAAATCAATTCATACACCTACTGACGTCTGCACTGAAATAATGTTTAGAACAGAGGCCGATTTTTCTTCTTACGAATGGCTACGCGTGGATGTACTACTGGGAACGAGTTTAGTTTCTTAGCCTTAAGCCGCAACTACAGGGTGAATGTACTCCTTGCATTTTGCAAGAGACAACGATCGACTGTGCTGTAGCCGAATGTTCATTATAAGCGTTAGACTGTATAGGTCAGATTTCATATAAATCGGCCAAACATAGGCAGAAAAAAAATGAAATTAGATCTTATTGGATAAGTACGGCATCTTTTGGACGGAGGTCATAATAGAGACAATATATCTAGCTATATTCTATATTCAAAGCGAAGTAGGTGAGCCGAATCCGTGCGGCACAATTCGGGCACTCAAAACTTTCATCTATATTATCCCCTATATCCCTGGTGTTCCCTGTTTCTTGCTTATTTGAACATCCATATTTAGTATTATTTTATCGTATGTGCGTGTTTTGTGTCATATTTAAGTCATATATAAGTCATATATAAGTTACAGAGAATAAAAAGCTGTGTAAGAATCTATGAGCCGAAATGACATCTGACGCAGTCGCATGCTTTATGCAGAATGTCAAAAAATCACTGCGCAGTTTCTGTCAGAAGAGAACCACAAATTTTTCTGGAGCGCAACAATCTGTACGTCTGTAACATGTCCCAACTTAGCGCCGTCGCATCAATAATTTTAGAATAGGATTCAACACTTTCTGCTCCAAGCGATTGTAGGCGGATTGCAAGTGGTTTCGTGTCTCTACTCCACAGTCTGTGGCTGAACAAAAATTAATGCATCATGGACCTAGCTGCTGATGCACAGGGAGTTCGTGCGGTTCCCTTACTGGAAGTTGAGTCGGATCGACAGTCCTCGGATTTTTTGTAATGGCTTTCATAATCCACGGCCAGGTTGTGCTCGTGTCACTTAGAGTTGGGTAGACGACGTAGCTCCTTCTGGATACCAACATAATGTAAACAATGTTAGAATATAACGAGTCTGCTCTCAAGGTTTGCCATACGCTTCACGTCTTTAAAGTGTAGAGTGCTGTTAAAAATGGGTAAAACCGAGTCCCCCACATGCGGATCAGCCAACTGAGCTAGTAGGCAATTTTTTAACCTGGCATGGTATTTTCATCCTAATCGAGAAAACCAGGACGAATATGTCAGCCTGAGTCATCCATGGAACCAATGTGACATTAGCTTCTGTCCGCGGTGCTCCGTACGTAATAATGTAATCCAGAAACAGGGTCCATGCGAACTGATGGTGCTAAAGATCATCAGATTTTGACCTTTAGTGTCTTTGGAGTGTCGCCTGGGTCTGGTGGTGCTGACAACAGGTAGACTCTCAGCAAGCTTATGTGTAGTGTGTTGCGTTTAAAACAAAAAGCTAAAATGCAGTATGTGACGTGAGGTCTATCTCCCTTTCCTGTGTTGTAGTTCACCTGGAGGTCGTGGAAAATAACCTCAAGAAATGACGGAGCTAAATATCATCCCACAGAATCGACCGCTACTCATGAAGAATTTCTGCATGACGAAAGGATGCAGTGTAATTGTCATCATTTGTTCTTCCAAGCTGTTTCATTCTAGCCGATATATTACGTGTACTTGGACCGAAAATACTAGAGTACTGTCGAAATATCGCCCACGGTTTCATCGACTATCTCGTTCGACTGCCTTCTGATGTGTTGGCAAAAATTATTTCTCATCTTCACTTGGAAGACGTCATTAATCTCGGTCACACTTGCAAAGCGATGCATTCGGTACTGCCTCAAACAAACCCATTCACTACTTTCAACCTAGCTCTGCAACGACAATAATCTGTGGAAAGACATTTTTTGCAGAAATTCACCGTCTGCCGTGAATGAAACTGTTGAAGAATTAGCTACCTTATTTGGCTGGAAGAGATTATTCTTTACAAACAAAGTGCAGTTACAGGTGAGGATCAAATAAGCGGTTCTGATCATTCACAAGATGCAACTACGCCGCCTACGGATGGAGCATACTTCTGTTAGTGGAGATGAAGTAGAAGAAACTGCAACGCATTTTGAGGAGGATTTACCGAAATCCCGTAAGTTGGCACATTACAGGTTGCTTGTTTCCATACGAGGTCAATAAACAGCCAGGGATCACCGGAGTCAACATAGGCTTCATTCATGTATCTTTTTACGCGTCAGCACAAATTGCTTGTTTGAAAAAAATTTGACGAACCCTTGGTTTGAATCCGTTGGCTGAACAAAAGTGAGGTTAGTTCATTTTATCAGCTGTGAATCGTAAACGAGCGCACCGTATTTTGGGTTGTCACTGACGCAAAACACCATCACACAGGTTGGCTATGTTCATCCTGTTCAAGTCCCTTTATCTATTAGCTAAATTGATAGACGGGTACAAATCCTTTTCTTGTCGTTTGAATTTCCCTGAACATTTTGGACAACCACGCTATATGTCCCTTGTTAGTAAGACCCGCAGCTTTATGCTGCTAAACAAACATCCACACCATTACAATTTGATATAGCCTACCTTGCTTCAAGTATAATGAAATAGTGTTTAACCGTACTCCGAGGCCCTTTTGTTTACCCAGACTAGCAAAGTTTTTAGATATTTCCATGTCATATTACAAATTTTCGTCAATATCATCGCTCTGAGCCTTGCCGCATCTCTCATGATATCGAGGGAAAGATTACCTCGGAGCAGGGTCCGTTCCTTTAAATTTAGCAGGATGCAATGAGTTTAATCGGGTTTCTTAGTCGGCTTCATTGTTTATGTTAGGAAGTTCAGATTCCTGAAGGTCATCCCAGAATACCCAGAATACTTAGTGAGAACCTCAAACTCCACCAAGCGCCGATCAGTTGGCAAGGCCAGGCAGTGCGAGACAGGCTTGGATCAAGGTCAGACAGTGAGAAACATCATTGGACCAAGGCCAGATAGTGCCCCTCAATATATAGCGCGACACCTTTGTTCTTTTCGCACTCATTCCCTTGTCCGCAATAAAGATGTGTTCGTTGTGGCGGGTCTCTTTTCAGTACCAGGTACTGGAGCGGGGACAGTAGTCAGACATAACAGATTGGCAACGCCCAAAACCAAGAAACCATGACAATAACTGCTGAAGGTTTGAATGGAATTCTGCTGCAACAACAAAATCAGTTTGAAGCGGCGCAATTGCGTTTGGTAGAAACTTTGACTGAACAATTTAAAATTCAAAACCAAATTCCACTCAAAATGTGAATTCAGTCGACTCGGTCGCCAAAAACATCGCGGAGTTCCATTATGACCCTGATGTTGGTCTGACCTTTGATTCGTGGTTCAGACGTTACGAAGATATTTTCAACGGCAAACGGAAGCACAAAGATGGTGCCTGGAGAATGCGCATATTGTTCAGAAAGCTTGGTACAACGGAACACACACGGTATTCCGACTTCATCTTGCCAAAGAACACGCGAGATCCCAGTTTTGACAAAACCGTGCTGCAACTTTCAGTGATTTTCGGTGGACGTTCGTCCTTGTTTAATATTTGCTACCAATGTATAAGACTGGCGAAAAAGGAATCCGAAGACTACATCACTTATGCCGGTAGAGTCAACCTTGAATGCGAACAATTCAAGTTATCTACCATGACGGAAGACCAGTTCAAGTGTCTTATTTCCATCTGTGGTCTTCAGTCACATTCGGACAGTGATATCAGGGCGTGACTATTGAACAAGACTGAACAAACTCCCGAGATAACGCTGCAATCCATTATCCATGAGTGCCAGCGCCTTTTAAATCTTAAACATGACACAGCCATGTTGGAGAGACCTTTGTCAAACCCTGCTTTCAACATTGCCAAGAGGCAAGCTCCCGTGGTGACGAATTCGAACGGAGCAAAGCCCCCTTCAGCATTCTGGCAATGCGGAGAATGGCCGTATAAAAAGCACAAATGTTCAATGTGAAATGGACAAGGGCACAAGGAATTCCAGTGCCGGACGCGGAAAGCTAGCCAAAGACACAATCAAACCCGGAGGTCACGAATAAACGGAGCCAATCAGAACCCCGTTTCTTGATTTGACTCCTGAGAAAAGAACAGCATAGACTTAGCACTTTCTGTATTCAACGTCTGGGTTTCTCAAAGGGAGCCTTCCCCAAGTAAGCACTAACTTATCAGCTCCCATCTCCAATGCGCAGCTACCCACCCCACCTCCGGAATTATCGGCGAACGAAACTGTGGCAGCTACAACCAACCACTACGACAAGTACGCGGTTATTGCAGCTAACAATGATGATGACGATGACAAATGAACTTAAAACGAAGAACAAGACATTAGCGGATAAACCATTGAACCAAGGACACTTGAGGGCAAGTTCATCTCACTTGCTGCCGTATGTCTCCCTTGGTTACACAGTCATCGTCATCTGATGTCGGTTCTTGGGAAATCGGACTTGCTGGACTACTTAATCCCCAATCCCCTGATGTTAGTTTCTCAATTTTTTCGCATGTACAAGACGTGTTTGGCGCCCAATCTGCCTGAATGCATACGAGTCACTTGCCCACTTTAATTAAGCAGAGCCGCGGCAAGGTCAGTTTAGCGAATTTGTGGTATCAAGACGTCTCAGTCTCCTAGTCGCCTACAAGGATTGGGTTTGTCTTTAACTGTTAATTAAGTACTGTCTAACGTTATCCAGGTCCTGTAAGAAAACTTTCAATGGCGTCTGGTCCTATGCCCATCATTCGTAGATTTTGTAGAAAGTTTGACCCGTAGGTTATATTTCTCTATCGAGATCTATCAAGACACATAACTTTGCATCTGACCTTAACGGCGCATGTGTGCATGCAGTTTTTAAATAAATCAGCTAATCTCATCCACTTATCACTTCGAAAAATTTGCGCGGGCACTGACGCACTTTAACCATTAGTGGCTGATATCAGGAAATATCTACCCATAAGGATTCGTTTTTGGAGCTATGAGACTGAAAATCAGGGGAAAGAGTGTATTCCAATACCACGGGTTTGATGACCAAGCGTTACATACGCCTGCAGAGTAGAGAAATACATAGCGTGCAAGGTCGAAACAATTAGATTGTTCAGAGTTTGTTGCAATTCGGTGTTAGTCAACACATTTCATAGACTGACCCGTTTCGCAATAAGACGGTTGATGAACGCTCAAAGTCAGCGTGTACCAGATGTGTCTGCTAGCTAAGTGGGGAACGCTCTGAAACGTGATAATCTCCCTCCCTCCGTGATTTGTTTGTGTACCTTCAGGTTCCCGGTCAACGTAACTTAATGCTGTAAGTAACTCTAGATCTGGACTATGCAGACGATATCGTTCTCGCCTTCGGAGAGGGTGTTTTTGGATCAACTGACCAAAGTTATACCGTCCATTTGTTTGCACTTCGCACCCACAAAGTTTAAGGTATTACTCGTGGACGTGCAGTCACTGAACGCTCCACTCGCAATCCAGGGAGAACCATTCGAACTTGTGGAATGTTTTACATATCTTGGAAGCTGTATTAGTTCTGATCGTAGTGTGATAGATGAGATCAGTGCACGAATCTGCAAGGCGCGGGTCGCGTTTACTGATTTGAGGCACCTATGGCGTCAGTGTGGAGTGTTTCTCAATCCAAATGGTTGTGTGTCGAGCTACAGCACTGGCTGTTTTGTTGTATGGTTGTGAGACTTGGCCTATTCTTGCGGTGGAACTGAGACGTCTTCAGGTGTTCGAGAATCGTTGTCTCAGAACCATAGCTCATGTAGGTTGGTGTCGGCGAATCCATGACGAAGCAGTTTTAAAACGAGTCTTCGGTTGTGCAACGGATACTTCCATTGGAGAATGTGTCCAGCACCGGAAGATGCGTTTGTTGGAGCATTTTTTGTGTATACCTTACCATTGGTTACCGAAGAGATTGCTGTTTTCCATGCCCAACTCAGAGCGGCGGAAGCAGAGAGGTGGGCAACCCTGGACCGTATAGGTTGGTGTCACCGAATCGGTAATGAGGTAATTAGAGGCTAGTTTTTGGCTATGCAAAGGAAACTTCCACTGAAGGACTTGCGTTTGTTAGGCCATGTGTTGTTTATGCCAAACCATCGTTTGCCGAACAGTGTATCGTTTTCCGTGTCTGGAGGTGTAGGTACCTCGGCATGATTGTAGCAAGCTAGCACTAAGTCCCTTCCCCGTCCATCTTCATTCTTTTTTTCGCAATAAGGTTTTCACATAAATCGTGATTGAACCGCAGCGAAGCATCAGTATTGAACACTGACGTCGATGATGATGATCCCGCGTATGCATTTTCGGTGCTGCCGTTTTTGACTTTTCTGTTGTCGGATTCGACTGCAAGAGGCCTATGGGATATTTTTTCCTCATGTAATAACGAAGTCAAACTTTTGTGCATGGAAATTTGCCAGCAAATCTTTCAGCGTCCGTCCTAGCTAACCATACCTTATCACTTTTCTATTATATTTGCGAGGATGCCGTATTCTTATAAATAAGCCTGTGTACGTGCTTCGTCTTTGGCCCTGTGTGAATGATTAGATTACCGAGCGGTTTCTTTGTGGTGTCTTCTTCCTGCAACATCCGCCTAGTTCCATTCTGCTGTTATCTTCCTTTAAGGTAGGAACCTTTCCAAATGAATCAAGTTTGTACAACAACGAAGAATCAGTTTGAACGCTGATGTTAAGCTGCCAATGATGATGATGGTGAAATGAGGAGGGTCACTTACTTGGGCTAATGAAATGCAAAAGTACCAACATCGGGGCTACGTGTAATGAGTTCAAGTCGAACAGCGTTTTATTTACAACCTCATTGAGAATATTTTATAAATGAACACCAACAGCATTGAAAATAGAGCTGCCCCTGTTATATTATATTACTCCCATAAGGTGCTACATTCGAAAAGGAAATACTTACAAGTTCTTGGTAGAGGAAAGTAGCGTAGATGGTCGTTGGCTTGGCTGCTGAGCTGGGCAATTTGATTGTGGCTCAACCACTAACCCACCGCTACGCACCACTACGATCCCCAATAACGCACTGACGATGTCACCTTGATTGGTAATGAAACGTTTGCAATCAAATTGCCCAGCTCAGCGAAGAAGCCAACGACCATCTACGCTACTTTCCTCTACCAAGAGCTTGTAAGTATTTCCTTTTCGAATGTAGCACCTTATGGGAGTAATATAATATAACAGGGGCAGCTCTATTTTCAATGCTGTTGGTGTTCATTTATAAAATATTCTCAATGAGGTTGTAAATAAAACGCTGTTCGACTTGAACTCATTACACGTAGCCCCGATGTTGGTACTTTTGCATTTCATTAGCCCAAGTAAGTGACCCTCCTCATTTCACCATCATCATCATTGGCAGCTTAACATCAGCGTTCAAACTGATTCTTCGTTGTTGTACAAACTTGATTCATTTGGAAAGGTTCCTACCTTAAAGGAAGATAACAGCAGAATGGAACTAGGCGGATGTTGCAGGAAGAAGACACCACAAAGAAACCGCTCGGTAATCTAATCATTCACACAGGGCCAAAGACGAAGCACGTACACAGGCTTATTTATAAGAATACGGCATCCTCGCAAATATAACAGAAAAGTGAT